TGGGGGACTGGGTGCCTGACTATCTGCTCTGCTCCTTGTCTGGGTTTAGTTGGCAGCACTGGGGACCTGGCTGCCTGCCCACAGACACCGAACCTGAGAAATGACTGCAGGGACGCACCTCCCACAGCGGTGAAGGGGACCAAGCCTCCTTGTGCTTAGTGGCAGAGCTGGGGTCGCTCCTGCCCTCAGACCTCAGGCAACACCATGGGGACCATCTAGGAAGAGCCCAGGTATCCATATGACAGTTGCAGTCCTTGGGAAAAGGTAACTAACCTTCTGGAAGCTGCTTCTCTCAAACCAGCCTCACAGTGAGGGTGGGAGTCCATTTCCACTGTCTCTACCATGTCTCCCGGGATCCAGCTTCTCCCCAGGGGCTGCAGACAGCTTATGTGCTCTAGGATCCCATTCACTGAACATCTGCTGGGTCCAGAGCCCAGTTTTGGGCAAACAAGAAGAGTTCCTTTGGGAAGGGGAAGTCCAAAGAGAGGAGAGATGGATGTTTCTGTCCCAGGAGTTGTTGCTTTATGGAGAAGACATTCATTTAACCAGACTCTGAGGCTGGGTTGGAAGGGCTTTGACATGCAGCAGGACCCAGGTGAGCAAAAGTCACTGGTAAGGGTTGGCAGGGATTGGGCTGCCAAGGGTTGGTTAGTGGCAACAGTGCAGAGCACTGCTGGGGATGATGGGACGGGTGGGCGAGATCAAGGGCAGCTTGGGAGAGGCTTTGTCAGTGGCCAAAAGCAAGGGGTCGTCTCTTCCTCCTTTTCCATGCACATCCCTTTTTCTCCAGGCAGCAGTCTCCTACCAAGTTCCCCACCCTCTGGGCCCCCTCATTGCCATGGAGACATGGAGTCCTCCAGCTGTTCTCAGTGTGCTTGGAAAGGCCCCTTCATGTTCTGTTCCTTCATTCCATCACCCAGTGAGGTAGCTACTGTTATCGAATCAGGAGATGACATATCCAAAGCTCAGAGATGGAAAGCAATTTACCAAAAGCAACCAGGACAGGAGGTAAACAGGGTCTAACACCCAGGCTTTCTGATTCATTGCTCTCCCACTTGGTCTCCCTGGGAAAATAGGCAGTTCTATCCAGATCCTTTTTAGATACTCAGAGCTACATTTCAACCTCTTGAGTACCCTGGTTTTATTCTGGGATTTTGGCTGTGATATGAACAGTTGAAGCTGCAGGAATCATGACCTCTTGGTCATTGTTTTCTTGTTTTTATTATTGTTATTGTTATCATAGGAAAAAGGAAGTGACATTTACTGAGTGCCAGATGCTTTATATAGTTCATCTCACTCAGTTCTCACAGTGACTTGTGCTAGGAGGAGATGTCTCATACCCATAAGTGAGGAAACTGAGGCTCAGGAGGGGGCTATCTTGTGAATGGCAGGAGTTGGCTTGGAATCTACAGCTCCCTAATTTTGGAGGTGGAGTTTCTTAGCTGTTTCACAGCTGTACTTTTCACTTCTGAGTTGACCTTTATAGCCAGGAGAAGCTGCCACCTGCAGGGGCTAGAGAGTATGGTCCGGGAGCCTCAGAGAGGGGCAGGCAGGAGCTGGCCTGGGGACATGGATCCTGGCGGCTGATGTCCTAGTGGTGGGCTGTTGGGGTGGAAATCTTCTCAGGCTAATTTCTGCCCATCTGACGCTTGTCATGTTAAAGATAGAGCAGGGACCCAGGGCTCGAGTTCATGCTCAGAAGATCCCCAGAGATCCCTCACCTAGACCATGAATGTGATAATAAATAGGGACTCACCTGAAAGAGAGCAGGGACCTACCTGAAGTCATCTGGCCAGTCCTAGACTGAACTGGCTTTAGATGCATCCTGTGAACATTTGTTTCAGGTGAATGGCTATGATTATAGGTTAGATCTTCAGGCCACATGGACATATTTTCCTTCTTATTTTGAAAGTCCTGTGCCAAACAATACATTCATGCAGGGGGACTTTTAGGAGAAGGAACAAGCTGGCTGGAGCCTTGGACAGCAGAACCTGAGTGGTGTCGGCCTGAAGCTGGGTGGCCAGAATGGTGTTTGACACTCTACGATGTTGGCACTGAGGACACACAGCCTTGGCCCTGCTGGTTGTGTGACCACAAAACCACAAGGTTTGTGGAAGGCTACTCATGGGACCTCAGTTTTGCCGTCAGTAAAACAAAGATGATCATTTTGTTCTCCTGGAATAGCAAGGCTTTTGAGGATCTAATGTATTCCAGAGTATCTGAGACTGCAGACTTGAGATTCATTAGCCATCAGTCCGTACCACAATCAAACTGCTGCCTGCTTTATAGACAAGTGCCAAAGGGCAGATAGAGATAAAAAGCAGAGTTCTGGACCTGGTTTCAAGCCCTGATAGATCTGAGTGTTTGCTTGTCTTCCTGTCTGGGCATTTGTCTTCCTAGCTGCAGAACACTGAGCACCAAGGGCGCCTTTGTTCTGGTACAGCTTGTGGCTCAGCGGGCACTTGGTGGGTAGGATTGAGACTGCCTCTTGAGGCCAGGTCAGCCCTGAATCCTTGGTCCAGGATGTTGGTCACTGGCTCCCAGATGCTGAGGAGGTAGACAGTAGGCAGCTGGGCCAGGCCTCGCCTTATACATTTCCATGCCCAGGTCAAGTTCACTTAGGCTTCTCTTACTCTGTTCTTGGATTCAAAATCCAGGCAAGCTGTGCTTCCTGCAGGGTTCCACAGGGCTGATGCTTTGCAGAGTTTTAGGTGGGCCTTGCCTCCTGGCTCCTTTGTACAGCGTGGTGCTGTCTCTCAGCTGTGCCCGTGGATGTCCATCCCCCAGGACAGCCTTCCCACTAGACTGGATGGATACTTCAGTCCTAGGGAAGGGACTGCCATAGCTGTGACTCAGAAACTCAAAGTCAGGAGCACCTACCCCAGCTTCAACTTTGCCTCCAAGGACATGTGTGCTCTGGGAGCCCAGGGTTCCTTGAGAGGTTGCAAGGGCTGATGGAGGGGGACAAAGATGGGGCAGGTTCAGCCGGGGCTGCTGGGCTTCATGAAGTGGGCTGCTACCACATCTAAGGTTTTCTTTAAAGAAAGATTCTGAGTGTCAAATGAAGTTGGAGGCTACTTGTTCCAGGTTCCTTGTTCTGCCACAGTAAAGAGCCGCAGTGTGGCTCACAGCTCACAACTCTGGAGGTTGGAAGGCCAAGAGCAAAGCACCAAGCTCGCTCTCCTGAGCTTACAGATGGCTGCCTTGCTATGGCCTTTTCCTGTCTATGTGCACATCCCTGATGTTCCTTTGTGTGCCCAAATTTCCTCTGCTTATAAGGACACCCATCTGATTAGATTAGGACCCTCCCTAAAAATTTTCTTTTAACCTAATCACCCTTGAAAACTTCTGTCTTCAAATGCACAGTCTAAGATACTAGGGGATAAAGACTTAACATATAGATTAATGAAAAATTCATAACATATGAATGAATGAAATAGTTTAGCTCAAATACTTTTCATCTTGCCCTATACCCTCATGCTCCAGAAGGGAGACTGAGGCCCAGGGAAGGCAGTTTTGCAGTCCCACAACTGGCTAAGGCTCCAGCTGTGTTCTGTGCGAACCCCAGGTGAATTGATTCTTGTAGAACAGAGCAGAGCAGAGCAGAGGCTGAGCACTTCTCTGCACAAGGATTCCACACCCTCAGCCCCAAGGGATTCCCTTGGGGAAGGTCTGGAGATCTCAATTTGCCAAAGTTGTAAATCTCTTGTCATAAGCTACTCCTTGGCATCTCCCAAGTGCCCTAATGTGAAATACAGCTGTTCATCCCTTTTAAGATCCAAGCACACTTCCAAATTTCCCATCGTGTTTGCACCTAAGGATGCAATTACCATTTCCTCCCATTGTCCTGTCTGCTTGTCCCTCTGCTCACGGCTGACGCAGGCTCCCATGCCCGTGGGGTGAACACACGGCAATGGGCTTATGAAGACTGGGCTGCCTCTGAAATCTCTGGGTGGCTCGTGGCCAGTGATGCTTATCGGTCCACTCAAAATTGCTTTGAGGTTATTTTCTTCTCATCAGAAGATGCTTATATATGCTGTGAAGAATGTTTCCATCAATTCTTCTGCCTGAGCAAGGGGCCAAGGGCTGTACTCTGCCATGAGTCACCCCCACTGGCTCCTTCCCAAGCCTGCTGAGCTGTCTCAGAGGGTGAGCCCTGCAGGCCTTCCCAGAGGACCCTAAGTATATGTGTGTCTCAGCGGGCCCTGGAGATGGTACACCCAGTTTGTCTCATGTGAACCGTAAACTTTCCCTGTTTGGTTGTAAAAACCACAAGAAAGTATTTTTCCTATAAGTATTTTAGGACTTGAATTTCTAAAGGAAATGAGGAGATGCAAGACATCACATGATAAGACTCACAGAGCACACGTGTGACTCTTTGGGTCTCAATCTCTTTTTATAGAACCACCTGGATTCAATCTGGAATCTTCCCTGTTGATCTTACCTAACCCCAGTCACAAAGGCCTCTTCTCTGAATACCATGATCAGATTCAGTGTCCACCCTCTTTCCAAAGTGGGGGTTACATTTCAACACTTGAACCTTTCCAAGATATGGTCAAACCATAGCAGACATTAAAGTCCATTCTGCCCATTCAACAGATTGATGGATGGAGGCCTAGAGAAGGGAGAAGACGAACCTGTCCTCACCATTAACAGCAAGTAGCAGGTGAAATGTGAATTCAGGATACTGGAATTCCAGCCCAAGGCCTTTCTGTTGTGCCATGCTTCACTTCACTCACCTTATTCAGTGTGACTAGAGGCCAGGGAGGACAGAGTAGAGGCCATTGCCAGGAGAACATAGTAATTTTGACTTGAGCAGGCTGGAGCTCTAGGTCCCATCCCTTTGCATTTGGAGCCCCCTCCTCAGCACAGAACACCAAAGGATCAGGTTCCCACCAAATAGGGAATCCTGAGTGAAGCCCTTGGTCATCTGCAAGGTTTCCCAAGTGGCTAAGGTTGGGCAGAGGCATGCTAATGCTATTTCTTTTTGTGTTATCCAGGATCCGCCAGGACTTCGATGTCCCCACTAGCCACCTGATTGGAGCACATGGATACTGCACACAGGTTTGGATGCTGTGGGACCCAGAGGCAACCAAGCAGTTCTTCTTTTCTTCTGTCCCCCTTTCTCTTTGTCTTTCAACAACCTCTCTAGCCACTGTTCCATATACAACCTGCTGGGCTTTATTGTCAAGGAGCACTAGACATATGTTGATCTCTGTGCTTAGAGCCACATGAGATGCAGAAAAGATAGACTGCAGATCTAAGCTCTGTGTCACCTGGAGCGCTGGCCGCAGTGGGTATGGTATCATCTGGGGACCCTGTATCTAGCTGGGAACATTGGCCATTGCACTCTTTATGTGGACATGGAGCATTGTCTTTACACCCACTGTTCTCCCTGCACCTTTATAAAGGGATTCCCCCTCCCCTGTCATCAAGGACCTCAAGAGACTCCGAGTATGGTTGCTTGTCAACCATCATCAAAAGCTGGAGGGGAATGCTAACATGACCTCTCTCCAGGGTTTCCCCAGTATAGGAAGGCCTCCTAGAGCAAGCAGCCAGGTGGGTCACAGACAGGTGCCCAAACCCAATGTTCTGGACCAGTTAAAGACTCATTTGTCCTAGGGTCTTGACTCACATGTGTCCAGCTCTTGAGACCTACCAGGTCCTCTACATAGGCAATCACTGGACCTGTGGCTAGTGGGACACTCACAAAGGAATGAGGCATTGGCTGCTTCCCAGCTTCCTGAAAGGAGTTGGGGAGCCACTATTCTTGTTATCTGTGGTGGCTGTGCTCTCACCAGTCTGCATCAGGACAGGGCATGATGTCGCCCAGGCATGGGCCACCATCAAGTGAGAGGCAGAGGACATTAGGCCAGAGAGTGGGCCTGGATTTAAGTCTTGTTCTCTGTTGCACTCACAGAAGATGCTGGGCCATCTTCTTCCCCTCTCTGGGCTTCCCTTTCCTCATTTGTAAAAGAGGAATTTGAACTGGACCAGGGCTACTTATGCTGTGATGTGCTGTGCTGTGCACACAAATCCCTGTGAGTAGTGTTGAGTTCAGAGTCAGGGCTCTGAGATTCTGAATTTCTAACATTCTAGTGGGAAAGTGTTGCTGGTCCACAGACCACACATTGACTATCAAAGGCCTAGATGATAGCTAAGGTTTCCTGATGTGCAATTTGTCATCCAGGAGCTGGAGATGCCTGGTGCTGCCTGTCCCCATCTCAAGAATTCCTCTTGCTAGGAAAAAGTTCTGGATGCACCCAGATTTAGGAGTAGGGCATTTTATTTTCACTTTAAAAAGCAAAGGGAAAAACTCGAGCCACCCTTGAAAAGGCTGTCCCTTTTCTTAGTGCCACTGCCTCCAAGGTGTGGTATCTTAGAGCAGCTATTTCCTCCAAGCTCTTTTCTCTCATTTCCTCTGCAAGGACACAATGACCCCTTCCATATCTCCCTCCAATGGGGACCCTTTGCCTGCCATCACTGGAGGCCTCTTTTATTCTCACTGGGGCAGGGGTATTGGTGTTAACAGAAGAAATTGCTAACCCTGGATATTGTTTTCAGAAGTTAAGGGAAAATATTTCCATTAACTTTGTCCTCCCAGCTGGGGAAAGGGCAGCTTTGGCTATTCCCATGGGCTTCAGAAGAGCTGGCCTTGCAGGCACCACCAGACCCTGGTGAGGTGACCTGCTGCCTGAGTGCTAGGACTGAGCTCACAGGAATCCTTCCCCAGAAGCCATCATGGTTTGTCTTGTACCTGTGTCCAAGCAGATGCCACGGTAATTGAACAAGGGAATGACAATCAAGGCAACTCAGACAGATGCATGGAGCCAGAAGATGTGGGTGGAGGCTCACCTCTGGTCTTCAGGGGTTGTGGGTCCAGGGAAGTCCTTTCTCATCTCTAGGCTCGGTTTCTCCTATCCTAAGAGGAGGCTGGGCCAGGGTTGCCCTGCAAAACGAAGGGCCCTTCCTGCCATAGATGTCCATCTCATATACACACCAGGTGAAGGAGCTGCCAGAGAAGTGCTGAGCTCCATGTGCCACCAGTGCCAGGTTGCAAGGTCGCTTTCTTGCTGCACCGCTCCGAGTGTGGCATGAGCTGTGGTGTCCAAAATGCCTACTACCCATGGCAAGAAGAAGTGGGCTTCCTGTCCCCTCTCTCTTCCTTGCTCCACCCACTCACAGTACCCTGCTTCATTACAACCTGCTATTGTCCTTGGGGAGATCTGAGTAAACCTGGGGTGCGGTTGGTGCTGAGCATGGTGGTTTCCTGGTTGTGGCACATGCCTTGATCCTGTGAGATGTTATTTTTGAGGGAAGCTGGGTGAAGGGTGCACAGGAACTCTGTACTATTTTTACAACTTCTATTGAGTATAAAGTTATTTCACAATTGAAAGCTACTTTAAAAAGATCACCCTTCAAGCCTCAGAATATCACACACCCACTCTTTCCTAGTCATGTGTGGTTCTGCATCCCTCTAGGCCCTGGAATGGGCTGTGTGTACACTTTGATAGTTCCAGACACATCCTAGAATCTGCTTCAAACTCAGAGCTGCATATTGGAGACCACAGCCCTAGACCTGAGCATGGAGCCCTGTGTCACCCACCCCAAGGTCCTTCTGATGAAATGGGGCCTAAGACAGGGTCCTGTATACAGTTGGTACTACATGAATGCTGTGGACTAAAGATGAATGACTGCCTGCAATGGGTTTGATAAGAGAAGCTGGCAACTTTCCCCTTGGTGCTTGTGAGAATACAGAGTTTGACTGCCTTCCTCCATCCTTGCTTTCTCCCGTCCCCACCCTTTTCTCTCTTCCCAGTGTCCCCTCCACCCTCTTGCAGCTGGTTCAAACTTGGTGTGGCCTTCCCCTTCTCTCATCAACAGGAACTTGTCAATCTGCTGCTGACCGGGAGAGCCGTATCTAATGTTTTCAACGACGTGGTGGAGCTGGATTCTGGGAATGGAAACATCACACTCCTCCGAGGCATTGCTGCCCGCAGTGACATTGGCTTCTTATCTCTCTTTGAGCACTACAATGTATGCCAGGTACCTATAGGGCAAGAGTCTCCAGACCCCGAGGAGCCTGACTCCTTGAGAGACCTCCGATGGAAAGAGGGCTGGACTCCTCTTCCCAGAGCTGGCTGGAGCTCAGGTCCAGCCCAAACCATGACGGGGAAGGGTGGCTTCCCTGCACGTGAATTCGGACTTGCAAATCAGACCCAAAACCTGTTCTAGGGAAAGACTGTCAACAAAAGACCTCTAGGGATTTATAGTGTGACTGTGGCTGCATCAGGTTGTGTGTGTGTGTGTGTGTGTGTGTGTGTGTGTGTGTGTGTTATGTTGGTTCAGGAGGGCCTCTTCTCCAAGAACAGGGAACAGAGATCTTAGGTCACAAATGTAGTGCTTGAAAAACAGAAGTCCATTCTCTCACAGTGCTGGAGGCTAGAAGTCTGGGACTGGTGAGTCAGCAGAGGGCAGGAACCTCTGAATCCCACAGAGAGAATTCTTATCTCTCCTGGCGTTTGGCATGTTCAGGTATCTTGGTATCCCTTGGCTTATACATGCATCACCTAGTTTTGGTTTCCTTTGTAAATGCCATCTCTGTGTGTCTTCTTGTCTTCTGAGGACCTGACTGAAGGGAAGGGCCCACCTCAGATTAGAATCACAGGTGCAATAACCTAATACCCAAATATGGCCCCACTCAGAGGCACTGGGAGACTACATGTTCTTTGTGGGGACCCAAGTCAATCCCTGAGGGCACTGACTTGGTTTGTTTTGGGGGGCATAGTCCCTCTGCTTCCTCCCTTACTGCAGCTGGGGTCTCAGAAAGGACCAGGCCTCCAAGTGGAGCTGAGCGGGGCATAGAACCAGCTGCAACAGAACCCGCTCTAGGCTTCACTTTTCATCTAGGTGTCTGCTGCTCTGTGGTTGATTATATGGAAAGCATTATTGTACATGGCAGTGAGAGCTTTTTTTTTTTTTCTGGTGGCTGACCCTGTACAGATTGTTGGAGGGCTTTGATGAGGCTTCATTCACCCTGTATTCCAGAGCCCGGACAGACTTGCCTGATGGGTTCCCTAGAGATCACTAGGTGAATGGATTTATGGGATGACAGGGAACTGGAGTTTTTGTACCACCCTTCTCACACAACCACATGTGCTGTCCCTTGCTCATGGACCAACGGGTGCAGCCCTGTCCCCAGTTCTCCTCTTTGGGTGGTACCTGTGGCTCACAAAATGCAGATTTGTGGTGCCAAAGACTTAGAGGACAGGAGAGTAATGCTTCTGTCAGCCCATTGTGCGGCATCAGAAGGGGACCCAGGAATGTGGTCACGTGGCCAGTGAAGCAAGCCCAGGCTCTTCACCATAAGGCCCTGGGTGGGCTCCAAAAGCCTTGAAGTCAAAATTCCATGGGCTAAGATAGGGAACCTGGGTCAGGCTTGTAGACTCCCCAGGCTCACCATGAGCCCTAGTTTCATTCTTGTGTTCAGGGCATTGGTCAAACATAAACTATTTTCCATTGGTCAGTAGAGGGTAATTGACGTGAAGATCAGTAGAGGTCATCCTCCTCCTGGAAAAAGATGACTGATAAAGAATTTCAGGCCCCACAGCTGTCTTCCCCTCTCGGAGTACTTGGATTCACATAGCCTTAGCCACTTTTGCTGGTCTAGACTCTACTATGGCCTGGGTTAGGTCATCTCCTCACAGGAAGAGGATGCCATCTTCTGCCTCACAGTGAGTGTTTGACAAAGAAAGAGCTCTACCTGCCACCTTCTGCCTCAAAAGCCCAGTGATGGCTGGGCCTTAGCCTGTCCTTTTCCTGAAGGCCAAGGAAGCACCTTGAAGCCCAGGAAAAGTCTTCTTTAACATCACCTGCTATCCTTTCTGGCCCTGAGTACCTAGGACCTTGCCATCATTAGACACATTGGATCTAGAACCCCAGGCAGGTTCAGCCCCCCAACCCAGACTTGAACTCAGAGCCAGCATCCATGCTCTGGTCTGGCCTGTCTTACTCCACTGAGGGAAGATTTTGTATTTAGAACAGCTTGGATCCTGATGCCTTTGTACACATAGGCATGGCCCCAGCCTGCCTCTTGCCCACAGTCTATCTCCAGGCTTCTCACTGTGGCCTCTGGCTGGAAGCCAGGTCTTGGGGCCCTTTGTGAATGTGTAGGAGATCAAGGGTGGGATGTCCTACTTATAGATGAGCTTCTCAGATGACCCACACTCAGGATGTGCGTAGGGCAAACAGGAAACTCTGGACCAGAGAAACGTGCTCCTTGCTATATGAAACTGGCCTCCTGCCTCAGCTTGGCTGGGTCCTGTGCACACGTGACCACACTGGACTAGTCTTGCCTCTGTAACTTCTACCTCCCCTCCTGAGCTCCAGAGTGCACCAGGCTGAGGCTCCTCAGTGAGGGTCAGAATGTGCTGCAGACCACAGCTGGGAGGCCAAGGTCCTTTGGCTGTGCAGGTGAGAGTGCCAACAGCCAGGGAACGACAGGGTGCTTCCTGTCCTTAGAGCTTCTCCTGCAACCTACAAGGCTTGTTTATTCCTGTCTTCCTGAAGGAACCCAAAGGAAAACAGCTTGATAGGGTTTCTCCTGAGGGCCCATCCTCCTCCGATCATCCTCATGCCAGCAAATGCTATTGTCCTTCTGCATACTCGTACTAATGCTTTCCTAGTCCTCTGACAATGTAGGAGCTGAATGATTTTTCCTTTTAAATTCACATGTGAAGTCCTAGACCACAGTTAGCTCCAAATATGACTGAATTTGGAGACAGGGTATTTAAGGAGGTCATTAAGTTAGAATAGGGTCCCTAGCATAGCCTTAATCCAAATGAACCTGCATCATCATGAGAAGAGGACATTAGGACCCAGACACACACATATGAGGACCATGTGACAATGGTGTTCACAAGCCCAGGAGGAGGCGAGCAAAAACCAGAATGGCATCTTGGTTGCGTATTTCTAGTCTTCGCCATTGGGAGATAATAATTAATGCTGTTTAAGCCTCCCAGTCTGTGGTATTTATTTGGTAGCCTAAGCAAACTGACACAGAGAATACCCAAACTCTGAGCTCCACAAGACCCTCCCAGACCTGTCCCTCCCTCCCTCTCTCACTGCCCCCAGCCCACTATCCCCTTAGACACCAGGCTTAGACTCTTATTCCCTCTTGGTTCTTCCCCACCTCTGGACCTTTGCACATGATCTGCCTGCCAAAGGCCCTGCCTTTCCTGCTCTTCAAGTTGCTCTCTCCAAGGAAGATCTTTCTTGCCTTCATTGTGGCCTCTTCTTGTGGGCCCCTCTCCATCTTGTCATTCTCCACCCAAATGTTCTTTCCTTCCTATGCCTCTTCTTGATTTAAGTGTCGCATCTAACTGCTTTCAAGATATAAATGTGAAGTCACACATTGGAACATTCTGAAATTGCAGTGCATTATTCCAGTGGACGGTGCATCACACTGTGTCAACTTTCTGTCTTTCTGAGTGATGCAAACAAAGCAAAACAAGTGGTGAGTCATGATAGATTCAATGGAGTGCAGTGACAATGTGTCTGTTCGAATACTCTAGGACATCCCTATTAACCTGAGAAGTCCCTAAGCCCATTACTCTTCGGTTCCCTTCTGTTCTGTGTCTTCACTGCCTAATGGGGATGAAGTACACATCATGCTCAGTGAGTGTTCCTCTCACAGACAAGACTGTAACTGTCTGCAGTAAAACACTGATTCATATAAATGAGTGCTCCTGACTTAGCGGTCCAGGCTGGCTGCAGGTCATCCGTGACCTTTGTAGATTAAGCCTCACTAACAATAAGCCATCCCTGGTGGTGTCGTACAGTCCCCATCCGGAGAAAGCCCGGACGGTGCTGAGGGAATGTGGCCTCCAGCCCTACTCATCCCAAGCCTTTGGTTGCTTAGGAGTCCCAAAGAAGTGAGTTTTGTCTCTAGAAATTGTCACTCACTTGGAAGGGGATCCTGAATGTGAGAACTCATTTATAAACCCTCCGGGCAGCTTGTTCCCCTCTTAATCTCTTGATTGCTAAGTGATTTATATATGGCCAGCTGCCCTGGTGTCCCTCTGTTGGAAAATCCAGGCTGATTCTGGTTGGATGTGTGCAGCCCTGCTTCCTGGCTGGCTTCAAGGCTCTTTTTCTGCCTTTTCTGCCACAAGGCTGTCTCTCACAGCCAGAGCCATCCCCAGTAAAACCTCTTTGGGGCATAGAATGAAGCCAAGTGTGCCTCAAGGTTAGGCATGTCCATCAGAGTGTCCCACACCTCACAAAGATTAAGCCCTGAACTCACACTTGAAATCACACAGGGCTGGGTGGGCGTCCTGGTGGTGTTGGGGCAGGAGGGTCCATGGATAAGAAGAAAGCCATGAACCCATCGTAAAGGTGGTTTTCCTGCTAGTCCAGTAGAGGAGGCTGCTCCCATGGGCAGGTCTCACTGGGGACATTCTGAGCATGGCCTCTCTCATCCAGACACCCCTAGCAGAGTCACCTCTGAGGAGGGAGCTGCAGAGCCACTCTCCTCAGAGACCCTGGAGAAAGTATGCCCCCTGGAAAAATAATTCCCATTCTTTCCTTAATCCACAGGCAGTGGCTGTAAATCCCTGAGTAGGCAAACATCTCCCTGGGGCTGGTGAGGATTAGGCAAGAATCAGCCTGGCCCATGGCACGTACATAGCTGTGTAAACCAGGTTCCCTGGTGGGGAGAGATGCTGCCCGGGGAAAACTTGTGCAGGACAGGAGGAGAGAGGGGAGAACCTGGCCGGGTTTGAGGGGTAGAACTGACCTGACATTCAGGGGTCCTTGGTGAGACCTCTCCCGATGGCAAGCTGAATGGTGGCAATGTACCAAAGCCCCTGGTGCCTAATTTATAATATCCATCCCAAAGACCTTCCCACCACGGGAACCAGGCTTTGAACTGTTCAGAGAATCCCTCACCAGAAGGAAGTTCCTGTTCCTTACCTGCATGCTGCCCAGCCTCTTCTTCCTTACCCCTTCTGTAGAACACCCCACTGAACTCTTCATTCATTTATTCCTCCCATCACACCAGCCTGCTCACCTGCCCCCTCCTTCTTAGCTCCCCATAGCTCCCAGTCCTGTCCATCTTCAAGGTACAGTTCTAGTCCAAGGCCCCGTCATTCACAAGGATTTCTGTGCATCTTGGACTCATTATACCCTGGGTTCTTGAGGCTGGGGTGATAGATGTCATGAGGCAAGGAATGTGCTATGGTGCCCTGGTCAGTGGGGGCAGTTGCTAAGTGTTCCAGGGCTGGAAGGAGTATGTGCCCCTTGCCCCTGGATTGGGTAATTTGGGTGAAAAAGCTCTCCAGGGGGAGGAGCTGCCCAGACCAGGGATAGAGCATGCAAAGGCCTGTGGCTTGAGGTCTTTGCTTGGTCCAGGTGAGGAGCACAGCAGACTTGAGGAGAGGGGGCAGTGTGATGGGTAGGGGGAAGTTGAGGTGGTGCCTGGGGTCCAGATCTGTGCAGGAAGGGCCCTGGGAGCCACTGGGTAGACAGGGCAGCTCCAGGACACTGGCCTGGGGCCTGGGCAGTGGCAGGGTCTGACCTTTTGGAGGTCGGCTTGCCCTGGTTTGGACAGATGTCCTGGCTCCTATCTTGGAACAGCGGGTTCATCAGGCCCTTTCACCCTCCAGGTTGGCTGCTTCCTGAAGACCCCGAGGTACCCCATCTGGGTGGTATGCAGTGAGAGCCACTTCAGCGTCCTCTTCAGCCTGCAGCCTGAGCTCCTGTCTGACTGGAGGGCCGAGCGGCTCTTCGACCTGTACTACTATGATGGCCTGGCCAACCAGCAGGAGCAGATCCGACTGACCATCGGTGTGCCACCCCAGCCCACCCCTCGGGGAGCCTCTGGGCTGCTCACATACCAGCCTCATCTAGCCTCTCTGGGTGTCCAGAGGAAAACACAGACTCCCTCCAGTGTCCGGACTGGGTGGTCAGGAAGTAATGTGTGCAGGGTTTTTGTACGAGGGCTTCTCGGGTGCCTCTTGAGCTCCTAACAGTGGCAAGGCTGTAAAGTCAAGTTAAGACCACATGGCATGAGCCCTGAAAACTTTGGCTGACAAGTTTGGATTTATTCTTCAGTCAACAGGGAGCCATGAAAGGTTTTAGAGCAGGGGAATGATGAGGTCAGATGTGTTTGTGGCAGGAAGAACGTGATAGCAAAAGCAGGGCATACACGTGGGATGGAGGCTGGAGATGAGAGACCAGTGAGTTACCCAGGTGTGAGTCTGTGGCCAGGAATGGAGGTGGGTCTAGATGAAACAGAAATGAGGGCACATGGTTGGGGTGGGGGCAGGACTATGGCTGCCTGTGCTGACTGCAGGGTGTGCATAGAGCCCTGGGGTGACATGTGTGTTGCTCTCTCCTCCTCCTGCCCAGACACCACACAGACCGTCCCTGAGGACAGCAGCGAGGGCCTTGTGCCTCCTCTGGAGCTCTGCATCAGAACCAAGTAAGTTGGTCATCTCTGGCTTTAGAAACTCACCTCAAATGGCTGGGATGTGAGGCAGTGAGGTGTCAGGCCTGCTGGAAGAGGACCCCGAGGGATGTGGTGAGGTGAGACCTATGTAGATCAGAAAGACATGGACCTGGGGCTTGTGCAGAAAGCCATTTCCCCACTGCTCACTGTGGCCCAGGTGGCATGTGGCTTGCAGCTCTGGGTGTCCCGAAGTGGGGTGGTGCTGTGCCCCATTCCAGCACAGCAGCCTGTGCACTGACGATGTCTGGCTGAAAGAGAGGGATGCTGTTGGTCTGCAGGGAGCTGGAAACTGCAGCAGCATCCTCTGTGTGAGTTAGAGGCGCAGCGGCTGTCACGGCCAATGGCCACCCTGAGAGCTCAGCAATGGTGTAGCCTTCAAAGGTGGTGGGGAGGCTGAGGCCCAGGCTGGGGAGGGCGGCCCAGTTCCTGGAGGAGCTGTGGCCCACTTTCCCCAGAGTTCTCCATTGGGTTCCCAGCTGGGGCCCTGCTCCGTTGCACTGGGAAGTTGTTACTGTGAGGGAGCCAGCTGCACACTTGGGGTAGGGACCTCCAGGAGGTCACAGCATGCATTGCTGTGGTAGAAGAGGGCAGCCTGGGGAATGGGGAAACCCAGATTCTCTTCCTTCCTCCAGAGCAGCAGTCAAAGTTGCAGCAACTAGCAGCTTGGGTGCGGGACCCAGGCTGCTCTGGCCAAACCCTGGCTCTGCTGTGAGCTGCTGAACTTGGCCCATTTGTATCTCCCTTTATCATTTGCAAAATGGGGAGAGTGATAGTTCCTCGCTCATAGGCATCTTGAGGAGAATGCAGAGATGTTACCGAGCACTCTGCTACATTAGCTTTCATTATGTGTAACCCAGCCACTCAGGATTAGGTGTGGCCTGAGGTGGAATCTCTATTTTCCTGCCTGTGAAATTACTGGGGCCAATTGGGGGATGTGGATGATGGCCCAGCACAGTTCTGACTCCCTGAGAAGCAGAGGGCACAGGTGGGCCCCAGGTTCGCTAACCACTTGCAGGCAAGTGGGGCAAGCCCCTGATGGGCTGAGAAAGACCACGAGGGCAGGGAAGTAGAAGGGTGCCCGATTCCCTGACTATACTGCCCCGTCCAGTCCCCATCTGTCCACCCACCCTCCCCCCAGGCAGGGATGCAGCATTCTTGCAGGGTCATGTGCTAAGGCTGTTTTCATCAGGGGATTAAGGGCACATGCCGGTCACTGTCTTTCATGTACAAAGGGCCACTCATTCCAGGTGATGAGAGAAGGGCTGCAGTCGGGAAGGGAGGTGACACTGGCCTTGGCACCTAGTCTAACACAGCATGGAGGCCACAGGGCATCCTTCCTGCAGGGCCCTACAGCATTCAAACCCTGGGTACAGGCTCAGCCTCCTCTGGGACCTGGCTGGGACCTCCATCTGGCTGTGTCTCTGTACCCCTCTCAGGGCTGCCTCCAACTCCCCCACTGCCCACTCAGGGTAGGAAGCACGCTTTCCCCAGAAAATCATTCTATTTCAGGACTTAAAGTTCCTCTTAGCATGGGGTCCAATTGTATTTGTGGGATGTGGCAGTTGTTTGATGTTGGGCTCTGGCCTATCTGGGAGGCAGCCCTTTGCCCAGAACCAGCGTAACCCAGATCTCAGACACTTGGAGGGTAGAAGGGTAGATGTGTGGTACCCAGTGCCACTGTCTCCCAGGGATTCCTTCCTCACTTCCTGTGACAAATGTGAGGTGATGAGGCAAGCTGGGGAGGTGGCTTGCCTCAAAGAGTGAGCCATGGGTCTGGGGACAGATATCCAGGTTGGGGTCTCCCTACCCTCATCTGTGCTCACTGCTGTGGGGTTGAACAAGGCTGAACCCCAGCATCTCCAGCAGTGTCTCTCACAGGGCTTGTCACACACACACATCCCAGAGAGAGACTGTCCCAGGCCCTCCTCTGCTCCCCAGTGTCTGGGAGAGCCCGTATCTCTTCATGGCTTCTGCACTGGGAGGTCTTGCTCCAGAACAGAGGTCTTCAAGCTTCGGAGACATGAAGATATTATGGAAAATGAACACTGGTTTCTAGACACCCAGGGCTCCTGCTGCAAGGTGCTCAGGATAAAGCCTGGGTTAATCTTTCTATGAAGTCCTTAGTGCTATTGGTGCTGCTGTCCTAGGGTCACACTCTGAGGAGCTGATCTAGTGACTTCCCCCATCCCATCTCCACTCCGTGTCTGCTTGGTGGGAGTCAGTTATCAAGTGAGGCTTTAATCTCCCAGTGTTCACCCTGTGTGACATGCTGGGCTAGGGGCTTTCCTCCTGAGCGCAGTCTTCTGCCTGTTCTACTGGCCCGTCCCCCCCACCCCCACAGTAGGGCTGCCTGGCCAGCTAACACAGTAAGACTTTCCCAGCATTATTCCCAGAAAAGTTGAGTGGATAAAGGAAGAGTGGGATCTGTATCTACTCCCCTCTACCCATCAGATAACGGCGGCACTGTAATGGGAAACAGCAGGCCTAGCCCCCTGGAATCCTACTCCAAGGAGTTGGATTACAAAGGCTTTGCATTTTGTTTTCATCCCAGGTTCTCAAATAGCTCCAAAGGGCCACTTGGAAAGGGGTCTGCAAGTCACACTGGGGACCCACTGGAAGGAATGTTCTTGTCTCTGGGGCCTGGGGGGTGGGGGCCAGGGTGAGCCCTGCTGCCTGGCGTATAGCCTATTCTCAGGTCATTTTCAAGGCCAAGTTCGATTTCAGGTACCTGGTGAGATGCAGCTAAATGTGCATCCATCCCATTTTGTCCATCTTGCTAGATGAGCTGGGTGACTGGATAACTACTTGGGAAACAGCTGGGTTTTCCCTCTCACCACATCAACTCTGGTGAACTCCTGAGCTGGACTTCATGGAAGCAACAACTAGATAAGAATTGACTGTTACTCTCAGAGACTTTATGATTAAATCAAAGCCAAGTTCAGAATCAACCCTGTTCTAATCCAGGAGAAGATTCACCACTCACTCACCCTTGGCCCAGCTCTGCTGCCCTGCAAGAAGCCCTGGCTCAGCCGTGACCCAGCACAGCCCATACCACACATTTGGCCTTCTGGCAACTTGCCTGAATCCACAGAAAGGTCCTAAGACACCACTTAGTGTGGCCCCTTCATTTAAAGACAGAAGTGAGGGATCTCCAGAATGGAGTTTCTTCTCTAGTCATACCTCTGGTCATGAGCAGCTTAGGGCCTCACTGTCCTAGCCCAGAGGAAGGTCACTGAGAGGACAGCGTGACTTCCTGACACCTGGCTCTGTTGCCATAGAGACGTTGCATAAGCCCAGACTGGGTTTTGCCTTCGGAGAAGAGCATCCTAATTAGAACCATCCCCGGGTCCCCATGTTGTCCTTACTTTTTGGTGTGACGCACATCTCAGCCTTCGAGAGTGTCTTGTTACCTTTTCTGTGTCAGGAATGTGGGGTCCGCTTCCCTTCCCTCCCCTGTCAAGTTCTCTACCCATGTCAGCAAAACCAGACCGCTTTAGGGTCATTTCCAAACAGGACACACACAATGACTCCTCTGAGGCTTCCAGCCTAGTTGGAGTGGGAGAAAATGAAAGGTTTGTCAGCCATCCAGAGAGAAGAGGCAAGACCTCATAACCAGGCCTGGAGCTGGGCCCACACGTTTTTGTTTGGAGTCCTAGACAAGAAATTAAAAATGTAATTCCAGCTGGGATCAGTGCCTTTGTGGGCCTGGGACAGAATGCCCACCCCTCTCAGTGGTGTCCCTGTCCCTGGAGTCCCCTCTCTGGTATTTCCCACTGACACCATTCCTGGGGTTCCCTGACCACAGTGATCCTCCCCCATACTGTCCCTACTACCTCGCTGTCCACACCAAGCAGACCTTACTGCTGCTTTGTTGCCTGAACACATCCCTGACTTTGCTCTGTGGTTGTCATGTGTGGGTTCTGCTCCTGGCCTAGTTTTCTCCTTATGTCACCTGCGTATCACCACCCTTTCCCTGAGCTGTTGTGAGATCAAGAAAAGAGCAGCAGAAGACAGTCTTTCTCTTTTGGGGAACACAAGGAATGGAGTGCAGGGAGCAAGAAGAATCTGATGGTACCAAGTAGGGAAGGGCCCAGGAGGAAGCAGAGCTGGGGACACGAGAGAGTGGTTGTGGCCTTGGGCAGGCTTCATAGCCAGGTGGTCAAAGGGAAGGAGAGTGAAGTGTGACTGAAGACCCAGGCTTCTCTGATGGGTGCATGAGAGGGCAGTGGGCTTCAGAGCAGGTGTCCAAGAGGAGTAGCTGGTATGGAGGGGCATTTTCATGCCACAGTCCCCCTGTGACAAGAGACGCCAGCTCTTCCCTGAGCCTGGCCCAGGTGCTAAGGTGTCCCCCGACAGTCAGGTATCACTTCTGCCGGGAGGAATCCTAGATCTGATTCTGAAGCACAGTGGACAGGGGAAGAGAATGGCACACAGGTGGAGAGCACAAGACCAGGGCCATAGGTGGGGGAAACCTTTCCCCCATGAAATAAAGCAGATTCCTCAACCCTGCAAACCTGTTGAGGTAGGAAATGGTCCTCACTGTCATCCTTAGTGAGGAACAGGCTTTATTTGAGGTTATGATGTGGCTCTCTCCATGGTGTCATGGTTGACTGGGCTCCAAAGACCAAGCATTTTCACCCAGCTCAACCTCTAAGCCAGGGGACTTCTGTGGAGTGATTTTACATCTCTGGGGGTAGTTAGTAGTCAGAGACATTTTTAGCTGTCAGCAGCCAGGGAAAGGGTGCTAAACACCCTACAATGCACAGGAAAATGCCCCAACAAAGACGTATCCAGTCCCAAATGGCAAAGATGCCTAAATTGTCATGCTGCTGGCTGCCCCCTGAGTTAACTCTGATGAGTGAGCCTAGGGCTTTGAGGCTGCCTCTCCCACTGCGCACTCAGAAGCCTTTCCATTCAGTCCCTCCCCTGTCACCACCATCGCTAATTGCTGTTGGTTTCATACACAGAGCTCTTTTTACTCGGCCTTGTAATTGACTCATAGACATTCACAACAGTGCTTGTCCTATCACAGCCTTTTCAGTTTTTAAAACATCTCTGATTTTCTCTTACCATTGCAAAAGTGCTTTTCTCTAGTGCATCTCCCTGCCTTTGCACCTGTTGTCTGGGATGGCTAGTTAGTTATTTCCATAAATAGCCTCAAAATCTAGCACAAATCCAATAGCATGACAGGCAGACTTAGACACTGGTGTGACACGGATGTTGTCTAGCAGCTGATGAGCGTGACTCACCCCTGCACTGAAGCCAAACCCCATTTTTGCCAGGATCTGAGAGATTTGCAAATTGGGATCGGGGGAGGAATTTTGGCTTGCCTGAATGGGGAAGATAAAGGCTGCATGGTAAGGACCTTGGGAACCAGGCTGGGGGCAGGAATGTCGCTCTCCTTTCTGATGCCCTTTGGGGAGCTGGATTCGATACTTTGATGCTTACCCAAAATCTTAATATAAAAAAAGAGCTTTTTAAAATTATATACTGCAAAACTGCAAAGATAATGAGGGGAGATAGAAAATTGAAAATCTCAAGTATCATGCGAGACTCCATTAAACACTGCATTATGTTGCTGTAGATGGCTAAGGTACTGTCAACCCAGTTGATGCGCAGACTGAACCAACCCCTAGGAACCAGGGGTCGGCATGATGCCTCCCCAGACTGTTCTGGTCTCCACTCAGTAGTGCAAATCAGAGTAGTGGCCTTTTTCCCTGCTGGTCAGACCTGTATTAGCTCCCCTGGAGTCTGATGATATCAGATAGTACCAGCAGTTGTCAACTCGGAGCAGACTAACTTCTCCATGGCATGTCCAGTTGTCTCCAAACAGAGTCCCAGTGTCTCTTAATCAAGCAGTGAAAATGAATGCTATGATGTGGATACACTCCATCAAAGTGGCTCAACTCCAAAGCATCTGCATCAGCCCGACACGCAGAAGCTTGGGAAATAGACCCAATAGACTGGTTGGAAACAGTCTAATAGTCTGGTCAAAGCATCCAGAGCCCACAGAATGACTTAATTATTTCACATCCAAGGGAATGAGTGAGGCTGCTGTTTCCAACTCACACGATGACATTTGACATTGAAGGGAGGCAAGGCTCACTGATGAGTGTGGAAGTGTTATTGTGCATTTTTGTCACACATTGGGCTGGGAACGGGCCTTATTAAGATGGTACTTCCCACATTTATTGTTAAAAGATTTCTTTTTTAAACAAACATGGGCATGTACTTTTGAATATCTAGATCTGCTTCTGAGCACTGTGTCCACAGGAGCTGGGGCAGGGGCAGCTGGATGAGGAAGTAGTACTCTCAGGCTTTCATGGTGGAAGGAAAGATTGATGGCCCAAAAGCTATATAAGCTCACTTGGGTGAGATCTCTCAGTATCACTGAATATCAACACTTCACACTGAAAGGAGCCCAAAGATAATTTTGGAAAACAGTCCCTAAAACATGGTTACTATTCATGGCCAGGCAAGTTTTCCAGCATCTACCCATTTCAGCTTTTGTGCAGAACATTTTAATAAGAGGATACAAGCCAGCACTTATACACAGACTAAACATCTCCAGCTGTTGATTGGGGTGCACAGTGTCAGACAGGGCTGTGTCTTGTGTCAAGACTGTGATAAACATGACATTCACACATTCTCCACTGGTCCCAGGAGATGTGTCCTAACAGTACCCTGGGTGGAACGAGGCAAGTGTGATAGTAATTGTTCCCAAATGAGCTGTATGCAAGCACAATGTTTTGCACCAAACTTGTCTATGGGAGCAAGAGGCACAGTGCTGACATTAAGATAATTTTTTCTCCAAATATCAAGAAATCTCTGTGATCCTTAGAAGAGAAATGAAATGGTGTAAAATGTAGAAAATACACAACAAGAGAAGATATGGCATTTGCAGCTACCAGCAGTTTGACTGCAAACAGGAACGCAAGTTGGAAGATCTGAGTGAGCCCAAATCAGATCACTGGCCCACCGTGGGTCTTAAAGAAAAATCCAGAATCCTTGTGATGTTCTGCTCGCCAGTCCCACCTCACCATCTATCTCCCCACCTTTCTGGGTTCCAGCACTTTGGACACCTCAGGATATCTACTTTCTTAGTCCTCCACAGGTGTCTCTAAGGGACCACTATAAAACACCTCTAGAAGGCGGCTGGACCCAAATGTGCCTCTATATCTGGACCATTCACATGAGCAGGGGGCCCAGAGTGCCCAGCACAGAGTTGGCTGTGACACAGATGGATAAACCACTTGCCCCCTGTGTCCTCTCCATTGCTACCTAATGTCTTTTAATATCCATGTTTCATAAGGGTAAGTGGCATTTTGTGTACACATGGAAGGGTAAAGTGGTTAGGATGAAACCGGAAGTCCTCAGTCCTCTGAGGTGAGACTTTCGATGACTCTGGGGAAGAGAGAGTTCTTGCCTGGGCCCCTGCTGCTCTAACTGTCCTCCTGTTGCTCTGTCCTTAGGTGGAAGGGGGCTTCTGTGGACTGGAATGGCTCAGATCCCATCCTGTGACCCTGGATGCAGCTAAGGTTATGGCTCTGCTGCTCATCCCTGGGGTGACCCTTGAACCTCAGGCCTTTGGGAGAAGTCTCTAAGAAGATGTCACCCTTACCTCCACATCTCTAAGAAGATGTCACTGCAACAAATGAGCAGAACCTCCCTGCTCCTCCCATGTAAGGCCACCACGGCTGAGCAGGGGTCCTGAGTGCAGTTGCATTGCCTTTCCATTGACCCTGACTGCCAAGGATGGGAAGGAGGCCACCAGGACTCTTCTACTTCGTTTGCATCCCTCGTTTGTTCCCTGTCCCAACCTAGGTCTCTGATATGGTTGACCCTAGAGACCCAAGGCACTGGGTATTTCTAGTAGTCCATTTTCTATAAAGCAAGAGTAAAACTTACACTGAGGATGGAGACTTCTTTGTTCCACTGGTACAAAAGGAGCATGTGGGCTGTTCTGGGCTGGGTTAGGAGTAGTAGGGGGCCTCCGAGCCATGACAGCTGCAGGCAAGGACAGTTTCTAGTTTCTACCATTGCAAAAGCTAGGGGTTCTTGCAGACAGGTCATCCCCTCTGCCCCAGGGCTATGCATGGCTGGTTCTCTGGCTTCTCCTGTCTCCATTCAACTAGCATGGTCTATGGCACCAAGCTACATCATGAGCTGTGTATCTGGGCTTAAGGTAAGCCTGTCTCAGGGCAGATCTGGGCGGGGTGGGGGGCTCCCCGAGCATTGAATGGGCTTGGCTGTGATGAGAGGAACAGTCTTCCAGGAAAGGTGTCTTACTCAGAGGGGCTAACAGGACTGAAATAAATAGAAGAACTGGGTTGATCCCCTTCTGCAGGGGACATGTGGGGAGAGAACTGACTGAAAATATGGATTGGTAGATCTTTGCAGCCCCTCACATCCCAGAGCAAAGGCAGAGGATGCTGGAGTGGGAAGAACATTATGATCAACAATCTGAGCTTTAGTTATGCTGTTCATTTATAATGTGGGTCTCACAAAGGAATTTGAGAAAGTGCAGTAGTGCAGCAGGAAGCTGGCAAAGAAGAAGAAGGTAACAAGGGATAGGAAAGAAAGGGAGGGAGGGGAGACAGAGAGAGGAATTATATCATTCTGTCAAAACAAAAGTCCATGTCTGTCATCCCAGTTACTCAGGAGGCTGAGGAAGGAAGATTGCAAGTTTAAGGCCAACCTGAGAAACTTAGCAATAGTCTGTCTCAAAATAAAAAGGACAAGGAATACATAGCTCAGTGGTATCGTGCCCTTGGGTTCAAATCCAGTACCAGAAAGGAAACAAAGCAAAACAAGACAAAACACCAGAGTCCACAGCTGCCCCACACTGATTTGCAAGACAGGGTGGACAGGGAAAGATGGAAGCAGAACACCCAGCCCCTAGGAGTTCCTGTCTTATAGGTGTCCATGTGAGAAGCTAAGGAGATAATAGCAGAGCTGTAGGAGCCACTGCCCTTGGGGTGACCTTGCTCTCAGAAAGCTTCTACACTGTGACTTGGGGACTCCGTGGAAGGGGCGTTCACACACAAGATTAGGGCTGAATTCCTACTGTGTCTGCCACAACCCAAGGGGAGGCTTCCATATGCACCAGGGGCTTAGGATACAAGGCATGCTAGGAGTTTTGCATCACTGTGACAAATGCATGAGGAAAAACATTAAAGGAGGAACGGTATATTTTGAGATGACAGTTTCACAGATTTCTGTCCTTGGTTGGACAGAAACTGTTATTCTTGGACCTGTCGTGAGGCAGAATGCTGTGGCAGGAGGACATAGAGGAGCAAAACTGCTTGTCTCATGGCAGCCAGAAGCAGAGAAAGAGAAGAGCCAGAAAGGAAGGGACTGGGGCAAGAACCACCCTTCCAAGGCATGTCCCCCATGACCCACTTCTTCCAATTGGGTCCCACCTATGAACATTGCTGCCCTGGGGGTTAGTATGTAGGTCCTTGGGAGATACTCTGTATTTATGCTGTAATGGCTGTGTCCCTCTGCAGCACTGGCTTCCTTCGTTCTGGGAGCCAAGCATGTAGTGGATGAGGCTGCATTTGGTGATGACAGCTCCAGAGCTTGTCTTGGCTTCCTGTGGTTGGGCATAAGCAGTAGACTGACTGCTGTTTTTTGAGGAGAGGCAAGACAGAGCCAGCCTGGCCATCAGGGAAACAGAAGGGAGAGGACTACTTTGCTGAGGTTGTGCCGAGGCCCCAGTGGGGTGTGCTGTGTAAACTTCAGCGGGCATTCACAGCAGGTTTCCAGCAGAAATGCTTCCTATATATCTCTGAAATGTTAATGTATTTGTTTCCCTTGGCCTGGGACGGGCCTCTCCAGCTGAGTGCCCCCGGGAGGAAGTTAGTTTCCCTGCACAGGCTTTGTTTATGGCCTGGGGAGGAAAAGTGTGTCTTTTCAATAAAGCTCACTTAACCTTCTGGCCAGGGGCTCTTTGGCAAGGCTAGAGAAAACAAAGTACTCTCAGTGTTGCTTGAAGAGAGAGACCAGGTCCAACAAAGTACGGAGTGCTTATTTCTCTTGAAGCCGAGAGGCAGCTATGAGTGTAGTGTGATGCTCTGGAGTAAAGAGTGAGCACAACCCAGCACCCTATCTCTTGAATGTCACAGACCCTGACTCTTGAATGAACCAACCCTAATATGACCCAGCCCACAGGAAGGGACCAGGCAATGCCTGTTCACACCTGGGCATTCTCCGTGTAGGTACATTGTTTTCTAGGGACACTCTGAACAGGCTTCAGCCAGTTGCTTATTATTCTAAAATCTTTTGTATTAAGGATCCATAGCCTCCCTGATGGCCTTGAACTTGTAATAATGTCCCTCAGCTTCCCTCCAGACTTCTTAGGAGCTGTGGCTGAGAGTCCACTGGGTCTCCAAGGGCCAGTCCTGGGCCAGGCCCACCTACCCCATCTCTGTGCCCTACATGCACAGGCTCAGTCTATAAAACAAGCAGACCTCAGTAGGTTGTCAGCTTGATTCTGTAGAAATCAGCTTTGTTCTGTCTCCTTACTTCCTACTGAGCTTCCTCTGTCTCTTCCCTGTGTTTCAGTCTCTGGATGAAATGGCAAGCTGAATCCCTTGATGTTCATCTGGTATTATGGGCAGTAGGAGGCAACTTAACTGGCCACTTAACTTCAAGCTCGCATCTGTATTAAGCTCTCCACCTCCTGTGGTGGCCTTTAAGTAGAGGGAGTTGTGGCCAACTTGGTTTCCCTTTTTCATCTGAGACTTGTCTAACAGGAAGGGTGGGGCACAAGGGTCTTACCTGGCTGGTGCAGCTGTACAGAAGCTGTTCTGGGTCCTCCCTGAGGTACATGCAAGGCTGGCTCTCCCTTGCTGAGGAGACTTCCCATGCTAGGGATCTCTCTTGAGTCGCGATCAATTGTCTTATGGCAGCTCCCCTGCTTTTGTGGGGGCCAACTTCCCCTCCACTTCCTTTGTAGACACTTGCCCAGGTCTTCCTTCTGTGCAATCCACATTAGAACCATGCGAAACACAGCGGCATCCTCGACCTCTGCACTCCAGAGGTGGGGGTAGGACCTTCACACTCAGCCTGTCTGTGTGCTCGGGAACAGTTTCTCACCACACCCTTTCTTGGGTACAGTCAGCCACACTTCCTGTGAGCTTGTCCCACACTTCAGGAGCACACAGTGAGCTTGTGAGCTCTTTTCTAGATACCTCCATTCACTTTAGGAGAAGAGATGGAGACCCTTGGGTCCCCATAACTGGGGGAAGGGGACAAGCACTCATCCCTTCTCTCCAAAGGCACGCCCACCAGCTACAGGCTCTTCACCTGCCAGCCCAATGCCATCTCCACTTCTGCTCCTGGCCAGGACAGCAGTGAGAGACTATTTGATTGATCTCTGTGAGTTTCCCATAGTGGCAGCACAGGTAACACAAGTAGTTTCTAGAAGGACTGCAGGTATTCCTGGTGGGAAGAGTTAGTAATGAGCTTGGGGGTGTCCTAAAACATGGGTGCTTTCAGACTCTACCTGACTGCTCCCCAGAGTCATCATGTCTGAGCCCCAGGGGAAAATAGAATCAATACAAGAAGCCAGTCTCCAAAGACTCAGCCCTGGAAAGGGACAGCAAGGCCCCCAGCCCCTGTGAGGGCCATGAGTGAAAGACCCAGGTGGCCCTGGCCCAGCTCTGCTGAGGATGTGATGGCAACACAGGACTTTCCTACCCTGCTCTGGACTCCAGCTTCACTGCTCAGTGTGATCCTTAGATCAGCAACACCACCAGCCACACCCGAATTTCTTAGGCTGAATCTCAAGCTCCATCCTAAGCCTACTGAATCACAATTGGCATTTGAATGAAATCAGTTGATTCAGAGTTCAAATTTGAAGTCTACGGCTTATGATTTTCACAAAGGCCAGAGGAACAGGCAAGAAACACACTTTATATGCACACAAGGAGGAAGCTCCACTGATCAGGGCCCACGGTTAGCCTGACCCAGTGCTTCCCACTGTGTTTCCTTGGATACTTGCTTTTGGGTCTCAACTGCCTCATCTGAGCAATTGCAACCTCCCATGATTACAATGAGGATACAGGGAGTTAATCACAGAACAGGGACTGGCACAACACTGTGGTTGATTGCCATTCTTTTCAATGGGGCTGGAAGAGACTCCTTGGAGGAAGCAGCATTTAATCTAGGCCTTGAATGGCAACTGAGAGGAATCAAGAGAGTGGAGAGACCATATAGGCCCTCAGTGTCTGCATGTCCTGTCCTGGGTGAGCAGAGAATGAGAGGCAGAGAGTACCCAAGTGGAGGCAGAGAGCAGGTGAGGGCTTGGTGGGTGGTTTTCTCTGAGGGAGAACTGCTTGGAGTTCTGCTCCAGAACTCTCTCCTTGCAGGGAAAGGGATATGGGATAGAGGCAGGAAGCAATCAAGGGGCTACTGTGTCTGCTCCAAAGGGCGGTGCAGGGGTGTAGGTGAGGAGAGATGCAAGGGAAAGATGCCTGCTGGCCTTTGCCTCTGCAGTCCCTCAGGAGGATCCTTACAGGGCTACTGTGCACACAGGGAAGCCTAAAACTTGCTAGAGGAAATCAGGCTGCCAAGTCTCTTTGTAGGTATTTCTCTCCACCGACCAGAGTCTTCCCTACTCCCTAATCATGCCCTAATCCTCCCAGGGCTGTAGGAGCTGTAATTATCAGGCAAAAATGCCAGGCATTTGTGATAATAGAGATTGCTTAATGCAACTGCCAGGGTGAGGGACTGGGCTGACAGGAGAGTAGGGGAGTGGGCAGGCAGGCTGCCCGGTCCTGTGGGCTGGGATAGAGGACGTCGTGTCCCAGCAGCCCTGTTAGAGTCAGAGAGGGATCAGGATGCCACTGGGCAGCTCAGAGGCTCAGTGGTCGTCAAAGCCTGGAGGTGGCATTTCCTTTTG